TAAAATGCAGTGGTTGCCTCTAATTTCAAATGGCTAGATATTTTTGTTTAAAGCCAGTTTGTTTGTTATAAAGCAAATAGCCAATAAATTAATTTGCTTAAAAATCAGTATCAGTATCCAATTTGCTAGTTAAAAAAAAAAGAAAGAAAATAAAATCTGAATTGAATCTGAATAGTGCATCACTAATTAAAATACTAAGTAAAAGGCCTCAAATTTGAAGTACAATCTCTGGGATGTATATTTCTATCAATTCTTCAATAGGTAGATCTTGTCTTTCATAAAGGCCGAGGTCAGGGATCTTAGGCCTAAAAGGGTTGGTGACCACTGATTTAGAGACTTTAGAAATTCATGTATCAGTATGATGTAGGTATTATAGAGTTGAGGTCTTTAACACAAACCTCCGGCGATGTTTCAGAGAGTTTCAGCATCTTTTTAATGCATGTTCTGGCTTTGAGTTCCAGCTCCAGGATCCAGTAGAGCAGCGCAGCGTAATACAACGCTCTGTCACCGGCTGCGGATCCAGACAGCTTCAGCTCCCAGTTCAGCTGGTTCACAGCTTCTAGATCTCATGTGGATGAAGGAAGACACAGAATATCACTGAATCAATGCTTCATTCGTCAGTCATTCGGTTCAGTGAATGCAGTTCAGAGTTACCAATAGTTTCAGAGCGCTTGTGTGCGTAAATGAGAGCTGCTGTTGAACACAGAGACAGGTAAGGATGATCTCTCAGCTGAATAAACTCTCTCAAAGCCTCCTGTGTGTTACCTGCAATACAAGAGGAAGAGCCATCATCATCATCAGTTGCCATATGCCACTTAACCATCATAATAATCAACAATAGTATCATAAACACGTGTAAAAATGAAGAATATGGACGTAAAACTACCTACCTTCCATCAGAGTTGCAAAAGCTTTGAAGAACCGGAGCACTGGATCATTATTGTACAACTTTAAATTCTTCACAGCTGTATTTATGGCATGTCTGTAGTATTTCTCCCTCATGTAATAAATAATTAACGGCTGTTAAAACAAACATCAGTCGTTATAACGTTGTTTTCTAATGTATATTTTCATTAAAATACAATCAAATTAAAACTTACCACACACGTTTTGTCGTTTTCTGACATATTTTATCGGGATAATTAAACGAAATCAACAACTTTATCGCAATAAAACGGCATCGAACAGCACCTGAGATTTAAAATAACGGAAATATACGTTAGGCAACCACCTGCGCAGGAATAATAATCAAACACAGACAGCGGCGCCTGTGTTATTGATTTAAATCGATCTTCTGAAATTGATTACTCGTGTCTGTTTAAACACGCTGGGTTGCGAATTTACGAACCATTTTGTTTTTTATTCGATTTTATATGTATCCCGTACTGTTATATTTCGTTTTTCGTCTCGTTAATGTTTGAGGTAACTAATAAGAAGGATTAAAAATAGACTGTACGGGTTCTACTAAGGCGAAGGCGTTGCGTCACGAGACGCTCAGCCAGAAGTCCTACGCGATTGGCTAACAGGCAGACGTTCGAATGTATATTAATGAGTACAGCTCATACGCTTCAGGAAGGTTACCAAGCAACGTCCCCATGTACTAATTAATATTCATGAGCAAACCTTGGCTGTAGTAGGTTGCGTTTGGACGCCGGCTGGCCGCACTTCAGGATGGGTTTGATTCAAAGCGTGTTTGCTGCAGAGGCTGGATATCATGTGCACGGGGTGAGTGCGATATTTACAGCTGGAAAATACACTAATTTAGTCATTACTGCATTTAATTAGGCATCGAGTCTGATGAATCAGCGACTGACAGGGTTTTTATCAAGTACATGATGTGTGACCTAAAGGTTTTGCAGGCGTGTCCTAGTAAAACACATCAGGATTCATACATTCCTTGAATATATTATAAAAAATAAGGGTTTTAAAATCTTTAAAGGTTTTTCTTTGAAGATAATTACCATTAAGATCCTTCTGGATCAGTTCCAACACTGTAAACCATGTTTTCCCTCAATATTTTTGTCTCGTTTTCCATTACAAATATCTAAACATTCTTAAATTAAGATAATTTACCTGAGAAGCTAAACAATATAGATATATCATGTCTTGTTAAAGCAGCACTATGTAACTTTTTCTGTGTTCAAAATTTGCAAAATGTATATAATGAGCGAGTACATCATGAATTCATCTTCCAAACCGCGTTTTTGTCTTATTCCGAATAACTACGGTACACTTATGATAAGTGCTTATATTTGGACTATTGTAGGCTGGTCACCGCTGCGGAGTAACACATACCCGCGTGAATCGCCATAGACATAAACTTAGAGAAGTAGCCAAAATTTACATAGTGCTGCTTTAAAGTTTTCGTC